TCTACAGCCTGAGGAACAGGGACATGAACAGAGCCTTGAGGAAGCTCATCGACAGGATAACTTCTCTTCTGTCATTGTCTCGTATGATTTGAACGTGAGTTTCAGAATAAGTCAAAGTGACAGAAATCCTCATGACAGAGTGTCTGACTCTTTCATCACCAAGTTCTCCTAAAATCACTAGAGAACATATTGGCCAAGTGCATTTTAACTTGAAGATGAAACTTGACTTTGCTTTTTTACCTACTTCTGTGATGTTTGACAAATGATTTCAATTCTCTAAATTCTATTTCATTACTCAGGTTCCATAGAAGCAGAGCCTGAAACAGGGTCCAGTTTTAGTAGTTTTTTCTTGTGGATCACTCTTAGAAGATGCAAAGTTGGGGAAGGAGAATAGGGCAAGAAAAGGATTTAAGCAAGAGCGTGGTCATGCCTAGAGACTGGGTTCCACTGATGCCATCATTAGTGCCATGCAGACGTTTCTCAAAGTTAAGCCTCAGGTGCAGCAAGGCAGCTGACTTTATACCCCCATCTAGTAATTTTTGAGAGTGGTCACTGGCAAACCATATCCTTCTGAGGCAACATTAGTATCCACCACATTCAATTTTATTTTGTATAAAATGGAAATAATTAGATGATCTCAGTGGTGTCCGATGACTGTGACATATTTGAACTTCATCAGTGAAGATGTCTTTGGTTCTTCTAAGAAAAAGAAACACTAACTCCAATATGTCCAAGCAATAAAGAGAGTAATCATTAATCACAAAGACTTCAGAATTAGGGATTGTATAGGAATAGAGAGTAGGGCTTCACTCAGCCCTCCGTGGGGTGGTTTGTCCTAGGACTGATTTTCTCATGGTTACCTGGTGGGGGCTGCAGACACAGGTGTCATAGTCAGCCATGACTCCCAGAGACAAAACACTGAGTGTTCTTCCTTGGGTCGGTTGATAATAGACCTTTCCACGGGGTCAACCAAGAGGAATCTTTGTGGTGAGTTGAATGCTTGCCCCCAAGATAATCCATTCACATCTGAGTCCCCCTAACTTGTGAATATTAACTTATATGACAAAAGGGTGAATGTCATTTATTGGGAAAAAGGCCTTTGCAGAGAAAGAGCTTACTCCATATTATCTGGGTGGGTCTTAAATATAATCAACTATATCTTTATGAGATAGACGGAAGTGCAGAAGACACAGAGAGAAGGAAGCTGCAATGTCACCAGGATGAGAGACACTGCATTGATGGGGGCCAGTATCTGATTGCCAACATTGTAGATACTTATCCTAAAAAACTGTCATTTTCATAGGACTCTAGTACATCTTTTTATAGCCCTTTATAATTTATTAAGTAAGCCTTATTTTGACCTTATTAAAGTTAAAACTTTGGGAATAAATTTTGTGTCTTGGTTGTTGTGCCTCTGACATCCAATACTTTTTTTTTTTTGCATTTAGAAATTATTCATTTATTTTCAGTGCTCTTTATTTTTTATATTTTGTATGGGGGCTATAAAAAACTAAGTAGCCTTTCTGGTGATGAAAGTTTGGGTAGCTATGGTGTTGCTACTGTGAATAAAGCAGTTTGAGCATTCTCTTTCATGTCTCCTGGTGGAAATGAAAGTTTTATATATGGGGGTGGTATTTATTATTAGCTCTAGGGGAGCCGCTTTCCACATTTGGATAGTTCCAAAGAGTTTCCTAAGTGGTTGAACCAATTTACTTTCCCAGTAGTTGGTCCTGGTGATTCATATCATTACAAAACATTTGCATTTACTCTGATAATTTAGTGGACTACAGTGTTGTTTAGTTAATTTACATTTCTCTTATTATGAGGTTGAGAGTCGTTTCACATGTTATGACCATTTATTTCTTTGTTTCTTGTAAAATACTTCAAAAAGTTCATAGAAAGATGCATATTATCTTTTAATTGCATTTTTCCATGAACTTTTTGAAATACCCTTATATGTATTTATGATATTTCCATTAAACGGTTTATCATTTTCCTATCAATTCAAAACAGTTCTTTAATTGGAATATCAATCCTTTGTGATTTATATGCATTGGGGATTTGTTTAAAGCATTTGCTTTGTTCTGTTTAGTGGATGCACAGAGTGCTTAGTTTCTTTTTTTAAGTTTATTTATTTATTTATTTATTTATTTATTTATTTATTTATTTTTATCAGTTTTTTGTTTTAATTTGTCACTATACAGTGTAGTTGATTTTCATGTCCCTTTACCAATTCCTCTTTCCCCCCTCCCGCTCCCCCTTTCCTCGCCTCCTCCCATCAACATCATATCTGTTCACTGGTCTGAACAAGTTCCAGGAATTGTTGTGATTGTTGTGTCTTCTTCCCCACCCAACCACCCCCCACTGTTAAGTGCTTAATTTCAATATGTTTAATTTGTCAGTATTTTCCCTAATGGTTTGTTTTCTTGTAAAATACTTCAAAAAGTTCATAGAAAGATGCATATTATCTTTTAATTGCATTTTTCCATGAACTTTTTGAAATACCCTCATATGTATTTATGATATTTCCATTAAACGGTTTATCATTTTCCTATCAATTCAAAACAGTTCTTTAATTGGAATATCAATCCTTTGTGATTTATATGCATTGGAGATTTGTTTAAAGCATTTGCTTTGTTCTGTTTAGTGAATGCACAGAGTGCTTAGTTTCTTAAGTTTATTTATTTATTTATTTATTTATTTATTTATTTATTTTTATCAGCTTTTTATTTTAATTTGTCACTATACAGTGTAGTTGATTTTCATGTCCCTTTACCAATTCCTCTTTCCCCCCTCCCGCTCCCCCTTTCCTCACCTCCTCCCATCAACATCATATCTGTTCACTGGTCTGAACAAGTTCCAGGAATTGTTGTGATTGTTGTGTCTTCTTCCCCACCCAACCACCTCCCACTGTTAAGTGCTTAATTTCAATATGTTTAATTTGTCAGTATTTTCCCTAATGGTTTGTATTCAATAGATCTTGATAATAAGCACCCTATTTACCATGATCTAAAGGATTAATAATTTTGTCTTTTATATTTGAGACATGAAACCTCCTAGAATNCCTCCTCCCATCAACATCATATCTGTTCACTGGTCTGAACAAGTTCCAGGAATTGTTGTGATTGTTGTGTCTTCTTCCCCACCCAACCACCTCCCACTGTTAAGTGCTTAATTTCAATATGTTTAATTTGTCAGTATTTTCCCTAATGGTTTGTATTCAATAGATCTTGATAATAAGCACCCTATTTACCATGATCTAAAGGATTAATAATTTTGTCTTTTATATTTGAGACATGAAACCTCCTAGAATTTATTTTTGTCTTGGATATAAGACAGCAATCCAAATTCCTTTTTAAGTCCTCACACCATTTATTACATACTCTATTCACTTAACATAATGCCAATTCAGCAATAAAGAAACGGTTTGTGTTTGTGTTCGCATTTTTCTGGACTCTTTTCTGAACAGTAGCTTTGCTATATCTAATCCTTTACTATTATCATATGTCTTTTTTTATTGTAGCAAGCATTATTTTTTTCTGACAATTTGCAATTTGCTGCAACAATATCAAAAACCAAGAATCAGAATTTCAACCTATAATGTGTAATGTTAAATAAATGTATATTGAAACTACTGCTATGATGTTGGGAAAAGTTGGTAGAGAAATTCTGAAAAGAGAAAAATATCTGCTACATCCTTAGTCCATATCAATTACAGAGAATATATTAGAAACTGCTAAATATAATATGCAAAAACAGGACCAACTTTCGCTGAGCCACACATTGAATTAGACGTGTTTGCATTTTTATGGTACATTCACTATATTATCATTGGTTATTATACACGTAATAGACATATATACCCATATAAATAAAGTATATTTTTAGCTTGAATGCAATCTCTTTCATCTTTTTGGAATAGCCATTCTAACAGGTATGAGGTGATATATCACTCTGGTTTTAATTTGCATTTCTTTAATGATTATTGATGTTGAG